GTGCTCCCTCAGTGGCTGCCAAGCCATGGGCCTCGCTGGGGCTGAGTTTGGAGCTGGGGCAGCTCCAGGGAGTCCCTGGTGCCCTGACAGCTCTGCGTGGGGCTCCTTGGTCCCAACATGTAGATCAGCAGGTATGACAGAAGCTTGTCTGGCTGTTGAGTTACAGGGGTGTCCACGGGGAGGACTTTTGCAGCTCCCGAGCTGATTCCTTTGCACAAGCGCAATTCACATGGCAGGGGTGAGTAGTCTGTCCCTGCTGACCTCACAGGCTGAGTTCTGGTTTTCTCTAATCTGTTCATATCAAATGGAACTACTTCCCATTCAGGTCCTCCAAAAGGTAAGAGTGAAGCTGAAGGATACAAAGAATTTCTTGAATCAAATGAAATCCTGAGAGAAATTGTGAAGGAACTGATGAGAGGGCGAGGTGGGTCTGTTTCCTTCAGCCTGAGCTGTGACACTCATCAGCCAGGGGCTTTAGGTCAGTCTCATCTGATCCAGCTGTCCCTCTTGCTTTCCCCAGATATGGACCAAGGGGCTCTGTGGCAGGCGGCGTTCCCCAAAGGAAGCAGTGGCTCCGTGCCAGGCTCTGCTGCGGGCAGGGAGGCGATGCCAGGCACGGGCACACGGGGTAATTGCTGAGGCGTGGTCAGCCGGTGTCGGCCATCGGGGTGGCTGTGTGGCAGCAGCTCTTCCCCCAGTGCCCGCTCGGGCCCGTCACGGCAAGAAGACCGTAACAGAATAGATTAATCCTGAGCAGACTCAGGGAACTTGGGTACTGAGCAGTCCTGTTGAGAGACCTCATTGAGGAGTATTGTCTGAAACATTGGAGCAGCTGCAAGGGGTGCCCCTACTGGGGAAAAAAGGCAGATGGGGAGAGCAAGGCTCCAGTGCCTCCTCAGAGGGCCTGACTCAGTCCCTTTGGGCTGTGGGCAATGGTTGGGAGGCGGGAGGACTAGTTGTGGCACTGCCAGATGCAGGGTTTAGTGCAGGGCTTTAGTGAGGGTTTGTGGCACAGAGCCCCGAGGGGCCCTTGGCTGCTCCAGCCGCTCCCCCAGGGATGTTGCACAGGGCCTGGAACGAGTGTGCAGAGCGGCCAGGAGCCAGCCCAGAGCTGCCCAGGCCCCTCTGCAGCTCTGGCCATGTCCATTGACATCTGGCCCCCACGGGGCTCCCCGAGCCCCTGCAGTGCCACAGTTCTCTGAGGCAGGAGGGGATCCCAGCCTGCCATGGAAACGGTTCCCATCTCTGTTTGCTTCTAGATGAGGATGCTGGGATTGCTTCCCCATTGGATTGGCTGCATGAAGTTTTGGGGCCCTTGATGTCCCCTGCAGGTAAAGTGTCATTTTCCCTCAAAGATCAATTACTCGAAATTCTAAACCCAATAAATGTCGCAAGAGCGAGATGACAGAAGCTTCTCTGGTTGTTGAATTACAGGCGTATCTGCAGGGAGGACTTTTCCAGCTCCTCTGCTGGTTATTCCACACAAGCCCAGCTCACATGGTGAGTAGTCTGTCCCTGCTGACCTCACAGGCTGGGCTCTGGTTTTCTCTAATCCATTCATGTCAAATGGAACTAACTTTCCATTCAGGTCCTCCAAGAGGCAAGAACCAACCTCCAGGTGAAAAGAAATCCCAGGAGCCATCTGAAGGCATGAGAGAAATACTAAATGAACTGGGGAGAGGTCAGGGTGGGTCCCTTTCCCTCATCCTGAGCTGTGAGGCTCATCAGCTGGGGGCTTTAGATCCACGTGTGAACTCACTGTGGCTGCACAGCAGGAAGGGATCCATCGCAGCGTCTCTGGACTGGGGCTCACGTGTCTCCTGAGAGGGTCTGACCCTTTTGGCTGTGGTAGCTGTCCTGGAGCAGGGAGGATCAGTGCTGGTACTGCCTCCAGGCACCCGCACTGAGGGAAACAGAGAACGTCCTGGCTGTGTCCAACGTGCTGTCGGCTTAGCAGGGGTGCCCAGGACGGGCTAACGCTCCAAATTGCTCCCGCAGATGCAGCCGGTGCTACAACACGTGCTCCCAAGATCCAGGAGAGCACTGGGAGAGATTTCTGTCGGGGAACACACTGTTTGATTGTCATAATGGCAAGCATGTTGGGTGGGCTGCTTGCCATCATGTCATGCTGTGCTGGAATCTGGTACTGGAGGGTGAGAAAACGGTGAGTTGTTTGTTGATCTCCCCCTCAAACAGCTTCTTTTGAAGGCAGCTCCTAGCCATGGAACATTCCCAGCCTGGCTGCTGTGGAGCGGCCAGTTAGTCCTTGGCCAAAGAACTCTGCTGAGGGTTCTGCTGCTGTCCAGTGCTGTCCTGGCCTCTCAGCTGCTGGGCCCCTCCTGGGGAGCCCACTGGGACTGGAGCCAGTGCTGGCTCCAACTGAGCCTGC